GAGGTGATGGTGGCGATGGTGGATCTGCAAAAGGAGAAAAATCAAATTTGTTTTTCTGTTTTCTCCTCTCTTTTTTTTTTTTTTATTTTGTTTGGCAGCCGCACATCCTCCCTTTCCCTTTAAAAGGAGGAAACTAGGGTTTTCTTCAATTTGGGTTTTGATGGGCTGCTCAATATTGGGCTGGGCTTATGAGTTTATTTTAGTAAATTTCATCCTCAACTTTTTAATTTTTTCAATTGAGTCCTTTTCTTGTTTTTTTTCTTCAACTTCTCCTCAAAATTTTTCATAAATTTTTTTTATAACGATAAATCCGAAACGGTACGCGAAAAATTTCGGTATCCGGTATGTATCGTTCCAGCAACAAAACCGGTACGCATGCCGGTACGGTATTGACTACTTTGCTTTGAATATCCAAATAGTTAAAAAAAGGCCATAAAGGAAATATTTGGCAGTAGTACAGCCATTAAGATAGATCTTTATCCCTTGACCATACTTCTATGGTCCTAATGCCAAACCCTTGTGCTATTCATCGAATCCTCTAACCTGAAGTCCCTACCTAAACTATTCAGATTAGAAAATTTTTTGCCTGTACTGGGTTTAGGGCCAAATCCTACTGTCATTTTGTGCGCTGAAATGGTAGGTCATGAAACAAAGCTTGTTATGTTTTTCTCCCAGCAGAATAACTCCGACCCCCAAAAGCCTCGCAAATCCACATGTTCAATTAATGAGACAAAAAAAGAACACAGAAATTGCCAATTTCGATTATTAAAAAGGAAAAGAAATTATAAATCAGATCAAACTACTAAATAAATGTTTAAAAAAAATGGTCTGAGACAAATTGCCAATATTAGCCTGAAAATCCGTAATGAAAGCAGAGATCCTTCCCATGTCAAGGGTGGAAAATAAAAAAAAAAGAACGTTGAGCACAAATAGGAGAAACAAATACCAATGATTAGTTGGTTTAAATAGAAAAAACTTAATTTTTTTTAATAAAATCTTGAATTGAAATCTTGTAAATAAATAAATAAGTATTAGGAGAGTTTTCCACTTATGAAATCAAATGTAGGTTGACTTCGGGTTAATTGAGCCCAATACAATTTTTTGCATACAAGCGGTTTAATACCTAAAAAAATTAGGAGCAAAAAAATGTTTTAATTGTTGAATAAAGTGAGCAACAAATCTTGAAATGCCCAACTATGAGATGACTGCACTTTTCCCTAAGCATGAGCACAAAATCCCATTTCAATAAATAGATATTAAGAGAACTTCCTTACTTATAGGATCTAATATAACTTGATTTCAGATTAATTGAGTCAATATAATTTTATGGATATGAGGGGGTTTAATACCTAAAAAAATAAATAAATAAGCATTGGAAGAGTTTCCCTATTTATGGGGTCAAATATAACTCGACTTCGAATTAGTTGAACTCAATATAATTTTTTAGATACAAGGAGGTTTAATATTTAAAAATATTAGGAGAAAAAAAAGGCTTTGATTGTTGAATAAAGTGAGCAACAAAGCTTGAAATGCCTATGAGATGGCTACAATTTTCCCTAAACATGAACACAAAATCCCAACTCAACAAATCCTCGAGCATCGCATAATGTTAATTTAGATGCATAGGGCATTGCTTTGCATCTATTGAAACAAAGAGACAAACAAGAATCAAAAGCAAATCCAATTCATCAATTGTAGGAACATAAATATAATTTTAAATCTTGCGTTACTAGACAAAAGGAATGATATAGACAAAAAACAGGTTCAGAGGCCACAAGCTACATGGAGCGGATCCCTAAAGAATCTATAATTTGGAAAAGAGGCCTAATACAGTATCATATTAACAACTTGGTTGTACTAATATATATATATATATATATGTCAACAATTTTTGCTGAACTTAACATACTAACTACACATTAATTAACTTGTAGTTTGAGTTAGATTTCAAAACACTCAAAGAAAAAAAAAATGGTATCAAAGATGGATAAATTAATGTTATTAATAAAATAATCAAAAGAATTATTATGATTTTAGAAAGATCAAATAGATTTTATTTTAGAGATAATAAGAATAAAGGGAGAAATAACTTATAGAATTGGTGAGTTACTATGGGAAAAACATATTTATATAATGCAAAGATCCACAATTAAGAAAAATTAAAAAAATTGCCATTTTAAGCTAAAATATACAATTTGAAAAGAATATCTAAGAGCTAGTTTCTAGCAAATTTAATTTTAAAGACTAAAATGTCAAGTCAACAAAAGATAAAAGTTAAAGTTGGCAAAGGAAGGTGCAAAGGGGCCAAAGGCACAAAATGGAAGATTCAAACCATATGAAAAAATTTTGGAAGGTGCAAGCTGCAAGAAAGAATAATGTGTAAAGTGCAGATAGGGTATCAAGTCTTTAAAGTATCTGGTTTAAATCTTAAACAATCTCATGGATTAAATCTTAAACAATCTCATGGAATATATAAATTTTTTTCATCACTACAAGAAAAGAAGTATTTTTTGACAGTAAAATTGACCACAAAAATTAAATTTTAGACACAAATTTAATTTGTGACAAAAAAAAAAAAGGTTGTTGTCGCAAAATGTTCATTTGCTTATAGTATTTAATTAGAGGTAATTATTGCTTTAAATTATGCCACCTAAACCAATTGAAATGCTTCCCTATGAATTCTATTAGTTTAATGAGGTCTATTCGTTTAACAATTGAGAGACATGTCTTCTATTATTTAAAATTGCAAATAACAAAACTTTAATTAGTCCATTACTAAGTGTCCAAAATGCACAAGCTCTAGCTAATAGTTTCAAACTATCCAACAATAATTCCTTACGCCTTTGGCCTTTGGTTGGTGGTTTTTTCTTAAAAAATGTATTAAAACACAAAGTATAGGGGTTCTCCCAACCCATATACATCAAAGATTTTCAATACCCAATTAATCATATGTACATTTGAATCCTTGAGGCATATAACTGGGCACCAAAACTTGAATATGCAATGCGCCACATAGCAAACAATTTCCTCCACTCCTATCTAACTTTAATGTTTTGCATCCATGCACAAGGCTTGATCATTCTACCTTTACCATGCTATCTTTTGCTATGCCATCTTTGGCCTTTGGGTGTTGCAAACTTGATAATTTGTTAGTAGTGATATCTTTTGCCACCCCCACCCCCCCGCTTTTTTTTTTTTTTTTTTTTTGAGAAGTATGGGTTGTTCATATTTGGAAATATAATTGACTACCCTTTTAGTGATAGTTTTGACCTTTCACCTAGCCATGGCTCCTTAAATTGTTAGCACTTGTTTCTGAGTTGATTAATCAAGATAATGTTTGTTTGAGGATGGATCTTATATGGTAGATTTTCAAAACAAAGGAAGTCAAGGTGATTAGTAATCTTCCTTTGCTTGATGTGGATGGACATGATAAATTTGTTTGGCATTATAATGGTTCAAGCATTTACATAGTTAAGGGATAGCAATCATTAATGCATTTAAAAGGAGTTGCCATTAATGCCTTCTTGGATAGTATCTAGTCTTCAAGTAAGGTGTGGCCTATTATTTTGGATTTGGATGTATCTAACTAGATTAAACATTTGGTGTAGGCACTTGATAAGTTCAAATCATAGTTTCTTTAACTTAGAAAATTCGTTTAGTTTAAGTAGTTTTTTTTTAAATACTTTAGCTTTACTCTATTAATTGGTTAATTCAACTTAGGTTAGATTAATATTGTCTTGGTAGTGTAGAATAGTGCTCGAGGGAATTATATCTTACTCATCTTATATTGCATAATCAATTAGGTTCATTTGCCTAAAAGTAGTGCACATTTGGTGCATCAGCACCTTTGCATTAAAACCCTTCTTACTTTCACAACGTGTTGAGCTAGAAAGGTGTGGATGTCCAATCTACTTGTTGGCTATTGTCTCGCCTTAAAATTAATACCTTTTGGCTAAGCGGTTGTTGTAGCGTAGCTTTAGGTGTCGAATCCATAGGGAAGCTATATTAAATCAACAAAAAGAGCTGTCAAAATGAGAAATTAAATTAAAAGATAAATTCTAAAATTAAGAATAAAAATATTTAAATAAATGATGATAATTGTAAAATATTAAAAACAATATTATGATGAACAAGACTTCAGGGTTCACTTAATTGATTTGTTTAACTGTTATAAATTTTGATTCTTATTTATTACTTAATTGCATGTTTCACATCCCAAACAAACAATCGGAAGATTCAACTTTGAAAACCAATAATAATGACTAATGTATTTATTCTAAGAAATATTAATTTCAATGAAAAACAAACTGATCTATTTTTACAAGCTATCCGAGAGCGACAATATATCTAATCGACAATACTGCAGTAAAGGATCAACCCGCAAAACAAATCTACCAATCAATTATATTCTAACAAATCACACATAAAAAGAGCATGACTAATCTTATATGAAATTTGATAAATATAATTTTCAAGGTTTTCAGATCTGAAAATAATTAACAATCTCTCAAAAATAAAATTAAACAATAAAATCTATGAA